CAAATCTATAATGAGATGGCTCGACAGCTCTCGAAGCGGCTCTCGTATCCCTAATTGCGTACTTATATGCTTCATCCTTACCTTGGGTACTAGCCTGGAGGACATCTTGGTCGTTGGGGCTCTGGACATCTTGCTTCGGCGACTGGCTTGGGGCGATAGGACGACACCTTAGCATCGCTCGTACCATCATCGCGGGCATGTCTTGCACACGCCGGGAAGCAAAGTTCATCAATAGATACACCGAACGTCGAGATTTCATTCTTTTTTTGGTAAAGAATTGGATTTTAGAAACCCCTTCTCTGGGTTCATAACTAGTATAATTTTTTTATTTAGGTATTCGGTCCAGTGATATTTAAAAGTATGTGATTTTAAAAGGGTTATATGTATAATATGCCCCTGTACTATGTCATTTTATCAAACGTGCTCCTCTACTATATTTTACATCAAACATGCCCTTGTACTTTGGAAAAATGATCAAACATGCCCTTATTTTCTAATTTTCATCCAAAAACCATTAACCACGATCAAAGTGGTTAACCGCACAAACTGTTCGAACCAACCAACCGGTTCCCATCTCTTTGTTAGAAACAAAGTTTCTAACGGGTTTGGGATTAGGGAATTAGCTAGATCAATTAGGGATTGACCGAGCTAGGGATTGGGAATTGGGAATCGAGAACAAAAGGGAGAGGGGAAACTGCTGCTGCCGCAGCTTTGGAAGAAGAAGAAGAGGGAGAGGGGATCGGCGCAGGAGGGAAGAGAGAGAGAGAGAGAGAGAGATTAGGTTTAGGTTTTAGGTAATTGATTGCTTAATGGAAAATAACACCCTACTGCAGATTATATAATCCGCATATTCCCTATCTACTACCAAACTAATAAAACGTAACAACCGACTCCCTGCTTATTGCCCGAATACCCCAAATAATCCCCCAATTAACAAAAACCGACCATAATACGAAATAACCAAAATCTGCAAATAATGTGTTTCTAACATCCTCGCCTCCTTGGGAAGCAACCTTGTCCTCAAGGTTGAAGTTACTCTTGCACCGGCCTTGGGTCCTCTGCGGCTTCATCTTCTGCCTCGTCCTCCTGGCGCCCCACCAAGAACATCAGATCCGGCTTCTCGCATTTGTGACCAAAGGTGAACCTCTCGCCGCAGTTAAAGCATTTTCCCTCCCGTCTCTTCTGCTCGATCTCCGCAGGAGACAGCCTGGTAAACCCTTTGGGCGGTGTCCTCGGTCTGGCTCCAATCGCTGCGGTGGGTGGACAAGTCGCCGCACCCTTTCCCGTGCTCGGACCCTGTGCCGGGACCCCTGTCCTGCTACTCGGCCCGCTGCCGCTTCCTCCTCCACTAGGCTTCTGATACCGGCCTATCACTCCCCGCCAGCTAGCCAATTCCTCTTCCTTATTACTTGCAAGACGAAAAACAGCTCGTAGTGAATCCGGCTCAAATACCCAAACTGCGGCCGCAATCTCCGGGAAGAGACCCGCCATGCATAGGCCCACCAATGTCTCTTATGGGACGCCCTTGCATTGGTTACCCAGTTTGAAGAATTTGGGCCTATACTCCGCCACCGTCCCTGTCTGGCGCAGCTTGGCCAGCTGCACCGGAGCCCATCCTTTAGATTTTCCGAATTGATATCGCAACTCCTCCTTAAACATAGGCCAAGTGATTAGCGTACGAGCTTCCGCATAGGTCCGCTCCATCCACTCCCACCACTGCAGTGCATCCCCCTCCAAGTAGAAGGAGACTAGCTGAGCCTTCCGTTCTTCCCTACTGGGGTGGTTCTTGAACCATCGTTCAGCTGAGTATAACCACAGACCTGCATCCTCACGACCATTGAATTTTGGAAACTCAATGGTGGGGGGTTTAGCTCTAAACACCATGTCATCCTATTCCTCACCACCCCCGGGGGTAACCGGCATTCCTCCCATAGCTTGAGGCCCCACTGTGATAATGCTGCGAGAATCGCGGGTCCCCTTCACAACCCCAGTCGTCCTCTTCCTCCTCCTGATACCCCGCTCTTCGGCCTAACACATTCCTCTGCCTCCGATCACCCTTCCCCGCCCTCATAGGTTCCTTCCCGGTGCCCCGTTGATTCGCAAAAGGGGGATGAGATCCGTTGTACTCGTCGAACTGGCCTTGAGGAACTGGGTAACCTCTTCTGCCCGCCTGGTTTGAGTGTCCCGCCGGCTGAACCGGTTCAACCATGGGTCGACCGGGTTCGGTCCGACCGGGTTCAACCCGACCACTGGGGGTCCGACTCGTCTCATCTCGACCTGGTCCGGTTGGGTTCGGCCCACTTCTCCCGGACGCCCCGACTCCCAGCCGCGGCCCGCCTCCCTCCGACTTCCTCCCGGCCCGCCTTCCATCCTGGATCGGGCCACCTGGCTGCCTTCGTCCCCTCTGTAATCCGCCCCTGACCCATATTGCTCATTGGGCCATGGCCCATGTTCAAACTCCTGCTCCAGATCCACCAACTCTTCCCCGTTCAGGCCCGCTTGCAGGTCCGGGTCCACGTACTCGATCATCTTGGCCTTGCCGCGCGCGCGCGCCACCTCCTGGGCTGTTGGGGTCAGTAACAGCCCGTCCTTGGTTGTTGGACCGAAGGAGACGTGGCTCGTACGCGAGATGGGTGGCCGGCTAGGGTTGTCCGCCGCCGTTTCCCCTTTCTCGCCTGAACCGTCCGTCTCCCTTTCTGCCGAAACCCGCTCGGCGCCCTGGCCGCCGAGCCCTGCCACCGAGGCGGAGCCCTCCCCCGTCGCTCCTCCTTCCACCGGCGACAGCCCTCCGCCGCCAGCTCCGGCCCCACCTCTCTTCCAAACTTCCGTCAGGCTGCTCACCTGCCCCTGCAACGCCTCCACCACCGCCAACAGCGCGTCAAGGGTGCGACCATGTTCTCTGGCCTTCGCCTGCAGCCCATGCAGCTCCTCCTCCACCCACGCCTGCCTCTCTGTTTGCGTCTCCACGACCTTTCTCAGCTCCTCGATCTCCGTAATATCCTCCACCACCCCGTCGGGCCCTACGTCGCCTGCCTTGGTGCTTTTCTCAGCTGCCTGAGCCGCCTTCTCTGGCGCCTTCATTGACTTCGTCGATAACATCGTTGCCTTCCCTAGTTCAAGAGCTCAAAAGAACTCACTCTCGAGCCAGGCTCTGATACCAGATGTTAGAAACAAAGTTTCTAACGGGTTTGAGATTAGGAAATTAGCTAGATCAATTAGGGATTGACCGAGCTAGGGATTGAGAATTGGGAATCGAGAACAAAAGGGAGAGGGGAAATTGCTGCTGCCGCAGCTTTGGAAGAAGAAGAAGAGGGAGAGGGGATCGGCGCAGGAGGGAAGAGAGAGAGAGAGATTAGGTTGAGGTTTTAGGTAATTGATTGCTTAATGGAAAATAACACCCTACTGTAGATTATATAATCCGCATATTCCCTATCTCCTACCAAACAAATAAAACGTAACAACCGACTCCCTGCTTATTGCCCGAATACCCCAAATAATCCCCAAATTAACAAAAACCGACAATAATACGAAATAACCAAAATCTGCAAATAATGTGTTTCTGACACTCTTTGCCGCGACAAAAACGCCTCAGGGTCAGATGTTGGGGGCGAAGGGAAGGGAGCTGCTCGGCGGCTTGCTTGCGGTTGCTTTCCAGGTCAACTCTCCGCTACAGTCAAGCTTCACTTTTTTTACTACAATATGTTCGATTGAGGTGGGTTAGTGGATAAGAAGAAGATTGGAAGAAGAAAGAGAAATTAAATAAGGAATCGAGAAAATCTATTGTAATGGGATTTGATTTATAGCGCCGGAAGGTGGCATAAGGAAAAGGGGAGAAGTTGGGGTATATGACGTGAGGGTGGAGAAGATGGGAGAGAGATTGAGAGAGGTAGAGTGGGGATGGTGGATGGGGGAGATTGTAAAGTTTCTGTAGAAGTTTGGATAGTGAAGACTGAAGTGCGGCGGACAAGGGGAGGATGGAGGGTAGGTTAGTTTTAGGGTTTTGGTCTTTTATATATAGACAAATTACCACTTAGTTCTCAAAATTTGTATTTATTACATTTTAATGCATATATTTTTATAATGTCAATAATTATCTATAATATTCATGTATATTGTGTACCGATTTTTAACGGTCTAATGCCGGTTAAGCCAATAAAGTGAACTATTCAATATATCGGTTCATGCTCCGGTTCGGTTCTGTCAACATTGGTTCTAACACCTTGTTTATGCACTCTCTTGACTGTGTATGGATCGGAACACCCATAGCTTCAGTTTGGGAATACAAATGAAGAATGGAAAGGAAAGAGCATAACAAGAGGAATGACGACGAAGGTAACAAACGTGAACAATCTCAACCATTTTTTCACTTGCACGCTTAACTTATTTTGAGATCGCCACTTAATTACCGGACGGGTAAAATCCTGGGCTTTGTTTTCTCTCTTTTTAGTTTACCTTTTTGACCCTTCCCCTTCCCACATAACATCCGTCTCCCCTGTTTTTCCTACCTTAATTTGTTCATTTCCTCAACCACATACGGCAAGAAGAACACAAAAGCAGCAGAAATTGATTCATTTATGGAAATCAAGACCAAATTATATACATCAACACTCACAAACCAACCCAAATACTGCAAAAGCCAATTATAGGTTGCTTTCTCAAATTCATTCACGATTCCAGGCTTGTTGTACATTTGGAAATCATTACAAAATACAAAAAAAAACCTTTTACAATGAGTAATATAATTGTTCAAGTGATGAACGATTGAAAAAGTTAACCTCCAATCGGGTAAACAAAAAAAAATTATAAGTTTATCGGTGGAGACAATAATGACAAACATACTGCTATGAATATTTGCAAGGGGTTTGATTGAAAGAAAGAATGAAGAATAAAAACAAAAAACGCATTGCTAGATACAAACCATGTAACCCCATTTCCAGTTTCATCTCTCAATTTTCATCTTTTTAGAAGAGATGTCTTTCTCTTTCTAACTTCACCCGGACTTACATTTTTCTAAGCGTGGATGATGATTCTCTAGGGTTGTTGGACTCATCGAAGACTGAGGGGATACTGTTCCTCTTTCCACCGCCGACAACACCGAGAGCCTCCCTTTGTGATGGGCTCCTCCAAAACCCGGTGTCGTAGAAAGTCTCCCACATCTCCTTCTCTAGCTTCATCATTTCCTCCCCTCCGCCAGAGCGGAGCTTTTTCGTGGTGGCATCGAGGTCGTCCTCATCAAATTCCAAGTGCATCCCCATCATCATCTGGAGGTCGAAAGACTGAGGGTCACCGTGGATCGGGTGAATCTGAACCTCGGTGTTGTCACAGCCGCACTGGCATCGTCGGGCGCGTGGGAGGAGGAGTCCCTTCTTCATCAGATGTTGCTGCCTCTTTCGCCGCATAGCCTTCTTGCAGAGTCCCACAGGAACTTTGTAGATGGTGAGGAAGAGAAGATTTGCGAGTCCACAGGGGCAGCAACATGCAATCGCCGCGCACTCCGCCGTCGTACCTCCGGCCAACTCGCCGAACCTCCCGCTGCAGCAGGAAGCGTCGGATGCTGAGTAGCTCCGACGGTGGCGGGGAGGGAGGAAGGAGTCCCGACGAGCTATTGTCGGCGAGGATGGTCGGATTAAGAGCAGCGAGGGCTCTTTCGCCGTTAGTACGCGACGCGTACTGCCATTACTGTCGATGTCGAAAATCATTTTGGGTTTTTTTATTGATTTAGGATGAGCTTATTTCCTTCTTCTTCTCCCGGTTTATAATTTGGTTGTGCCTTCCGGCGGGAATATAAGGGAGATTAGTGGCGGAGCTCCTCCTCCATTAGCAGGAAGGCGGAGGGAGAAGAAGGAAGAAAGTTTTGGTTGTGTTGGTCGTGCAAGGAGAGAAATGTGAGACTGAGGGCACTAGCGAAATAGAGGAGGGAGACCAGGGTGGTATTTTAGAATGAATGATCTATCATTCTAAACGATAAGGAGTCTGTCTGATTGAGAGAAGACCAACTAAAGGTAGACCGAGTTTCACGGAGCTCCTCTATTTTTTCTACTTCTTGTTCTTCTTCTCCTCTTATCTCGTGAAATCTAAATTATTTGGTGCGAGTGGGAGGGAGGGGCTATTTTCTATCTACTCTGACATTCATATCTCTATTTTCCTTCCTCTCTTGAAGTTTATTAATAGGTCTTTAGGCAGTACTACTCATATTGGACAAGGAAGGGTGAAATGAAACAGAGACCCACCTCAAATTTCTTTTCCCATCCTTCTGGTTTGGCATCGAAACACAACCATTTTTGGTTTATTTTATTTGTTTTTCCCCATGATATATGATATTAATTTGTTAAAGTAAAACTTAATTAGCAAACATTGAATATTTTTCTTCCATTTATACTCTTTCCAATGGACATATATGTTTAAGTAAATAAATACGAGTAAATTTATTCACATCTGTATTCAAATTCAGTAACTACTGAATGGATCATATATGATATTAAGCAATTGCAAAGAAAAAAAAATTGAACTCAATCATCATACCTTACTCACAAATCATATTCTTCATGCCAAAAAATAGATTTCTCTTTTTTGTTTTATAATCAAGGTAGATTGATTTTGATGAACTAGCTAATGGTTTAACCAATACGGCTTTCATGTAAAATTTAACAAAACTTTATAATTATTTATCATTCTAGGAATAATAAATTTAGATAGTGTAGAAAAATAAAATGATAATAAATAAAATATATAATAATTTTTATTAATATACGTGTCCTCTTCAATATTTCTCTTCTACTCATTGTGAATGGATGCATATATATCAATTGACAATGCATAATCCATTCTAATTAATGAGAGTGCTCGCTGTTTATCATATATCATCTATCTCAAATCCTTGGATAAATAAGAGAGTATAGTTTATTAGTTATCACTTGTACCTCATTAATAAAATTTTATGAGCTTGTTTTGTTCGTTCCAATAAAAAAATCAAATAATTAAACGGCCTTTTGTTTTTGTTTTGTTTCTTTAGAACAAAGATTTTATATATAGGTTTGGGGATATGGTGTTGTGGAAAGTGAGGGTTAAGTGTAGACAGTGATATCACATAGTTTGGATCAGGCATCAAATAGAGGTTATTATTTGTCGCCCCATGATAACGATGTAATTACATGATTTTATACCCCTATTTCTTATCCATTTGCGGAGCATGGTTGTGTGTTTTGGCCTATTTTACGCCGGGTTGTGCTACTTTGTCCTATTTCAGGTCCCAGGCGTCAAAGGGAAGGCCAAGCACGAGTTTCGGATCGTTTGGAAGTCGTTTGGACAAGCGAGGGCCAAAACACGGGCAGGAGGCCTCAGAACACGGCCGTGTTCCTGACCGTGCTTTTATGGACGAGACTTCCCCAAGGGTGGTTTGTACCACCTAAAAAACACGGGCAGGCCTGAGGAAAACACGGCCGTGTTTTAGGCTGAGCACGACCGTGTTTTCAAGCTGCCCGTGGCCGTGCTTTTAAGGCTGAGGCAAAACACGGGCGGGCTGAGGCAAAGCACGGCCGTGCCCTCGACCGTGCTTTGGCCAATGATGCCCTTTTAGGCAGATTTTCAGCAAAAGAGGAGGGGATTCGAGTTTTAGAGAGATAGAGCGATTCCTAGAGAGAGAAAGCGACGAACAAGAGTCTCCAAGCGCCCTAGATCGATCTTCAACACCATTGGAGCTTGGTTTGAGCTTGGAGAAGTGCCGATTCAACGTCCAGGAGCAGAAATCCATCTTCACAGTATGATTTCCGCATCTGATTCTGCTTTTGCTTCTCTCTCCATGGAGTAGTTCTCCCATTCATCTGGGTGTGGGAAACCCTAGTTCTGTATGTTGGGATTGATTGTATGAACCCAAGTACTGTTTCTATGAATTGATTATATTCGATTGAGGTTTTAATGATTGAATGACTTGAATCCTGATCAAATTCCTGTTGTTTCTGCTTTAACCTAGAATGAGAATATCTGACTAGGTTGATAGAGCATCCTTGATTGAAGGTAGGGAGTTGGTGACTTTAGTCGAGGAACCAACTCACTATTCTGTACCGGTTTTACTCCGGTAGTGGAGGTTTTGTTCTTAGGGCCTCAATCTGTTTACTCCGGTGTAGGTTAGTCGCCAGCTAGAGACTCAGATTGAGAGGGTCTGGAGACCTTTAGTCGAGACTTCAGACTGTTTAAGAACCTTCCGCAGTATAACTATCATAGAAATTGAACTTGGTAATTACAATCCGGCTTAACTGCAGACTAGGGGGAACCATATCCGTTTGAGTTACTTTGCTTGCTTGTTAGTTTAGAACTTCACTAAAGTTTCCTCGCTAGATAATACGAATTCACTGAGTAGTCATCACATCTAGGACCCGGGTTGACATTGAAACCCAAACCCGCTATACTACGCTTTGGGAAGTGGTTACACTTGGCCATTTTCTAGAGTGACAGTAACAGCGAGTCACCCCACAACATACTATTTGTCACCAACAATTTGTGAAAAAGACAATTTTATTCTTATAGAGTTTTTTTAGAAAACTGTGTTAGATCAAAAGATAATATAGGCAAAAAAATTTCGTTTACAGGCGCAAAAAACAGCTTTCCAGCCAAAACATAAACTCTAATAAGTCAATTTCATGACGACCAACAACAGTTGGACACCCATTTTGGGAACAAAAAGGCACCTCAGCCTGGTCAGAACCATCCGACCACCGGTTTCGGACCATCTCTTTTAGCATCGTTTTTAAAATAGTCGCTTAATTTTAAAATTCATCTAACTTTGTTTATTTATATAATTACATTATGTTCAATCATTCAATAGATTAATTATGAATAATTATAAATTATAATATATATTGTACAAATCAATAAATAATTAATTTTAGTTATTTAAATAATGCTAAAATAAGTAAATTAAGTGCATTACTATCTAAATGGATTTTTTCTATTAAATTTTGACTCCCCTCTGGCGTTTGAGGTAAAGCCCGTTTCAGATGGAGTATTTAAATAATAATAGGTTAGTTAATTATAAACTATGAGAAATAATGCATAAAAGTATGAATGTTTAATTATAAATTATCAAAAATATTGTAAAAAATCAATAATTCATTTTAACTATGTTGAATGGTTATAAAATATGGTTAAACATTTTACATTGTATCAATTTCATTATTAATTAGATCATCCCTAAACTATGTTTTTCAAACTATATTCAAGCAACCGGCGAGCGTGGAGAGGGCTTTTTGTGGCTTGCGGAAGGTTAGACACAAGCATCTTTTTTTAATTAAAAATGTGGATACAAATGGGGTGAAATAGACTGTTTCTCGATTGGATGTCCCGGGCAAAGAAGGATGAATAGTGTCAAAATTTCCATCTAGGTTATTGGGTGCTGTGGGCAAGGTAACAAGGATTTGTTTTAGTATATCACACGTGCGATCAATTGTTGCAAGTGTAGGTAGGGATGATTTTGCCTCTAAGAAATAATCACATGTTAGGAAGCTAAGGAAACTTCAACAAGATGACAGTGTTTCCACCACCAAACACTAGCAAAGCCAAATCTTGTGGTCTAACCTTGCACAGAAAGTGAAGTTTCCCATCCATTGCACATATGCAAAATAATACTAACAATGATGCTTAACCATCAAACTCAGTGTAACAAGTTCTTGATGAAATAGCACCAGTCTTCCTCACTCTGATGAGCATAACAGAGTCGAGTCTTTGGTTTGTTGTCTACTAAAGCCATTGCAACATCAATTACTTTGCCATGCATTAGTCCATCAATTTTTCTATCTCTTATATCAAGGCAGCCTGCTTGCTATTGTCACCATCAAGATCACCAAGTATGGATTCAATCACTTCCACAACCTTGAAAATAATCGACTTCAACTCACCAACTTGGGAAGACAGATTAGCTATAGCTTCATTGGCTAAAGGATAAGAGTTTGGGTTAGATGGTTGTTTCTTGTTTGGAGCTTCATGTGGCTGAGCTGTTTGTTCCATCTCAACACCTTCATTTATAATTTCCTCTAAGATCTTTGTTCCCCTCGGGTCTTCTAAATCAATTAGAGTGTCAAATACTTCCAAATGGACGACATGTTCAGGTGACTTTGGGCCATAGGAAATACCACATGTGATTCTTCCAAATACTATACCGCCTTTCCCAATGTGCTAAAGATCTGAAGTAGCTCATTGTAGAAGGTGAAAGTCTTCATGTTCAAGTTTTTGATATTCGGATGCACCTGCAACAGCAAAACAACATAAGCAGTAAATGAGAATGGAGATGTGCGAAAGAGGCGGTTAGGTAGGGAAAATTGCATAAATTATTATTGATTTCCTTAAGAAGATCCTCAAAGACATCATCTTCAACCATTGGTGTTCAAGTCTGTTCTTCCCAACGAAGACCACTCTTTGAACATAGTGTACAACTATGAATCCTTTTTGGTTTCTTGTGCCTAGATCAAAACATTGGATCGACTTTCACTACACAGCCAGGAGCCCTCAAGTGCATCATGTTCTCAAGTTCAATAAAAGCTATGTTCTTGAAATTTCCATTCTCAACTTGGTGCTTCTCAACCAGGTCAAGCATACACCGCATGAGTATATAATCCATTTCCTCTAACCATTGAAAATAAACACGCTTGGGTTGAGGGGCTTGGCTTCCTTCTCCTACCTCAATTATCTATTTGCTCTTCCTACCCAT